CGTTCTTTCGGGAGATTGCCCAGGAGGTCGAGGCGCGGTACCTGGTAACGGCCCATCACCGAAACGACCAGATCGAGACCGTTTTGCACCGCGTGTTTCGAGTAACAGGGGTGGCCGGTTTAGCCGGAATTGCTGAAGCCAGGGAGTGGCTGCCAGGCGTTGGGCTTGTGCGTCCACTGCTACCGTTTGCCCGGGAAGAAATCGTTGCGTATCTGAATGAGATCGATCAGCCGTGGCGCGAAGACGCCACCAACGCGACCAACGACTTCACGCGAAACCAAATTCGGAACGAACTGCTTCCTTATTTACGCGAGATGTTTGGCGATTCAATCGACGCTTCGATCTGGCGACTTTCGCAGCAAGCGGCCGATTGCCAGGAAGTGATTGACGACTGGGTATGTAACCAAATGGACAATGCGGTCATGTTTCCAGAGACCGCGGTGGTTCATGTCGACCTGCGAAAGCTGGCCGGAGAGCGTCCTTACCTGGTTAGGGAACTTCTGGTGGCGATCTGGCGAAAGCAACAGTGGCCACGCCAAGAGATGACTCAGCAGCATTGGCAAAAGCTAAGCGATTTGGTCACCGCCGATACCGATGGTGTGGCCGATGTGCTCCCAGGCACGATTCGCGCGGTTCGCGAAAACGATCGATTGATTCTAAGCCGTTAATACTTTTCTATGAGACTCATCATGCGGGCCTGTCTTCTTGCGCTTGTCGCTTTTTTGTTTCCCTGGGACGCTTTGCTTTCGGCTGCCGAGCCGCTCCCTCCCCTGCCCTCGCAGGCGAAGTTGGTGCTCGAAGAAGATTGGTCGAGCGGCTCGATCGACGAAAAGAAGTGGTACGTCTATCGCAAGCGATGGGGCAACGGCAACCATGGCGTGGTGCCGGAAAACGTGACGGTTAAAACCGATGTGGTGAACGGCCAAAAAAAGAACGTGCTCGTTTGTACTGCCCATGGCGACCAATACGACGGCGATGTAATTGGCTGGTGGGGCAACAAGACACGCGTCGGAGGTGTGATCGTTAGCCATCAACACTTCGCGTCCGGTCGATTCGAGATGGTCGTGAAAGTGGGTGATCAGACGCCGCACGAAGGTGGCCCAAAAGATCCTACGCAGCCGAAAGGATGCATTCCGGCACTGTGGACTTATAGCTACCGCTGGGTCGAGGGAGATAAGAACCGCAAGGACGAGTTTCAAGCCGAGACGCCGATGTACAACCCCCACATTCCAGCTTATGGCCTGGCCGCGAATGAGTATTGGTCGGAGTTAGACTTCCCGGAGTTCGGCAAGCAAGGAAACTTCACCGATGCGATGTACAACACGTTTCTCCAAAACCGACATGACAATCGCTTCTTCAAGGTTCCCCAGGCCGTCGATGGCGAGTACCACACGTTCGTCACGGAATGGCGAACCCATCTGCAACCGATGCCTGGCATTAAGGACGACCAGGTGATCGAATCGGAAGGGTTCTACTGGATTCAAGACAAGTCGGTGCCGTTTGAAACGTATCTGGGCAACCCGCTGAAGAAGCTGGGCGAAAACGAATATGCGTTGTACGCAGGCAAGATCGCTACGCACTACATCGACGGCGAGAAAGTCGCGGAAAACGACAAGTGGGTGCCGGCTTTGTCGGCCCAATTGAGCATGGGGGTTTGGCTGCCAGACTGGGCCGGCCCT